GGCGCACCAGCGCAGTGCGCCACCGGGCCGGCCCCATAGATTTCTCATTTTAGTACAGTAAGTATCAATATATATTGAAACAAAAATTCTTTGGAGTTCTGAATAATTTCTAAGATTGTAAAGGAGTGATGAACCCAAAATGTTTAAGAACCTGTAGTTTTAGAGGAAGACAAATAATTCTACTTCTCTGTCCACATTACAGTGTTTAATTTCAATCACTCAATCAACATTTTACGTAGTGGGTGTTACTTATTATTTGCTAGACTTTGCACTAGAGACTGGGGTTCTGAAATGAAACACTTTTTCTGTCCTTGACAACTCACAGTGGCGAAAACAGACATGACAGCAAATTATATTACTTGCTAAGTGCTCTATAACATGAGCAAGGTTTTCTGAAAACACAGAGGACACAGCAACCAAACAATCGCTAAAGGCTGAGAGTTTCACTGGGGAGTTAAAACTGGTAGGAATAGTAAAGTAAAGGGGTGGGATGTGGATGACAGTAATTCTAGGCTGAGGAACTAGCAGGTAGAAAGGTAGGCCTGTGGTCTCCCAGGAAGAGTGAGAAGTCAGCTTGATGAAGGACATTAAAGGGAGAACTGTGTTGAAGTAAAAAATTTCTGTGATCATGTTTGCATTTTAGAAAAGTTAGTCTAGGGCCAGCCCATGGCTCACTCGGGAGAGTGAGGTGCTGATAACACCAAGGCCGTGGGTTCGGATCCCATATAGGGATGGCTGGTTAGCTCACTGGGTGAGCATGGTGCTGACAACACCAAGCCAAGGGTTAAGATCCCCTTACCGGTCATGTTTAAAAAAAAAAAAAAGAAAAGAAAGGTTACTCTAGTGACAATATTGGAGGATAGATGGGAGAAGCTAGTAGGAAGGATGTTATAAAGTCCCATTAAATTATGTCGGCTCTGAACTTGGAAGGCAAGCAAGGTAAGAAGAGATACAGGAATAGAGAGACAATTCTGAAGTAGGATTTGTTTTCCCACTGGAGTTGAGAGGTAAGAGAGGAATTGAGGATAATACAAACTTTCAGGCCTGGGAGACTGAACATATGGTTGTCTCTAACCCTGATAATTGGCAAAGCAGGTTGTGGAGGTAGAGAGTAAGGTCCACATTGGAGGTGCGTATAAGTTATCTGGGTAACATCGGGCTGTATATAAATCTAAAGGGCAATTGGATATAGGTGGTTGGAGCTCCAGCAACAAATCTGAGTTGGTGATAAAAGATTTAGAAGTTGTCAGAATAAGGGTGGTGGCCGAAGTTACTTTGGGAGAACAGGGAGAGTGATGAGAGGACATGAATACCCAACATTTAAATGGGCAGGAAAGAATCCAGCAGGATAGAGAAGGCACAGTCATGGAAGGAGAACCGGAAGACAGTGGTGCCTCAGAAGCCAAGAAGGAAGGAAGAGTTTTGAGGAGTAGAACATGGCCCAAAGCATCAAATGCTGCAGAGAGTCAAGTGCATTAACTGAAAATAGGCCTTTGGATGTGGCAGTTAACTGGCACTGGTGACCTCAGGGAAAGCCATTTTAGTTAAGTTTTAGTTTAGATTTTAATGAGTTGAGTGAATATGGCTGTAGGTAGGGAAAACTGTGTACAGACCAGAGATCATAAACTCATGCCAAGAATACTATTCAGTTTACATCTCCATCACTTCTTTTTTCTCGGTCAGTCATTTAGCTTAACTGCCTGGACTGCATAGGAACTTAAGTTGTTTAATATCAGAATAGATTATGTGAAGGGAGTATAGGAAAAGCAGGAGATAGGGCAATAAGTTGAAGAGAAAATAGAGTCAAAGGAAGATTGTTTCCGGGAGTGGGGAGGTGGTAGGAAGGAGACAGGCATTAAACAAGCAAGCAAGCAAACAAATGTGTGTGTTTTCTCGGTGCCAGATGGAGGGAAATTAAAGGTGTTTATTCCTGTTAGATGATCTCTACGCTCTACTAAGGAGGAAAAATTCTTGGGGAAATTAACAATATCCACACAAAAAGACAGGTGGAGCAAGAGGTCTGGGTTGCTAGTAGTTCCTGGTTATCCCTTAACGCCTCCCAGGGCTGGAATAGAATAGAAACTTGAAGTAGTGGTTAGGCTGTGTTACAGCTTCAAGCCTAGGCTTTTCTTTGTTGAACATTCTCATCTTTTGTAAGTATACCTTTTACCTTATCCTCTGCCCATTCAATGGCCATTGGACCTGCCCTTTCTTTTTTTTTAAAAGATGACCGGTAAGGGGATCTTAACCCTTGACTTGGTGTTGTCAGCACCACGCTCACCCAGTGAGCAAACCGGCCATCCCTATATGGGATCCGAACCCGCGGCCTTGGTGTTATCAGCACCGCACTCTCCCAAGTGAGCCACAGGCCGGCCCTGGACCTGCCCTTTCTGATAGTGGTTTTACAAACCTCAATCTCTTGGGGTACAGTTATCTAAGCCCACAAAGACCCAAAATCCATCCATTGGTTCAAGCAAACACTGGGCAATGTGTACCTTCAAAATAGCCTTCTGGAGGCAGTTTAATCTCAAAAGGGCAATAGCAATTTGGGGCCTCTTTGGAGGATTAGTAGAAGGAAAATATGGGAGCAGGTGGAATCCAATGACATGAGCAGTTCTGACTCATGGTTTCTTTTAAGCCTTGGTAAACGGTGGTGCTCTAAACAAGGCTGGTCTCTGAAGTGACAGGTACAAAGTGAGTCATTGCTGAGGCCACCTGGATTGAAACTGGGCTGCTTGCCAGAAAGGAGGACATATAGTACCAACTGTCCTTTTGTGATGTCAGTCTGAAGTCCGATTTTAAGTGGTCCATATGGAGTAAATCCTTGTAGGAACAACTGATTGGGATTCAGGTGTTTGTCCTCGAATATATGAAAAGAGTGATTACATAATTTGCTTTGACCTTGGGAAAGCAACTTCACCTCAGTTTCTTCACTGGTAAAGTAAGTATACTGTCACTAACCTAAAAGGCTAGGAGCGGGTTAAATAGGATAAAGTGCCTAGTGCAGTACCTAGTAAATACAGGGTTCACAGGGGGCTCTCCTCTCTGCAGCCTCTTTTTCCATATTTGTACACAGACTGACAAGAACATGACTGACCCTCACCTCTGGATACATTTAATGCCCTTACTATTATTTCTGCCCCCCCTCATCTACTTCTCATTTAAGTTCATTAGCAATATTTTTTAAGCTGGCTTTAATCTTTTCAAATAAAGTAGAACTTAAAAAAATAAATACCTCACAACAGAATAGTAGTTTGGTATTTTAAAATTCTAAAATACTTTAATAATTAACATTGATGGGAAAACTCATATACAATGCAATCATTTATTTTACAAGGAGATTCTGTACATCAGGGAAGCATCTTGAAGTACAATACACCAGGCTTTTATTTCTTTTGTACATTATGATTGTGAGTTTCTGTGTAAGTATCAACTTACACAGAAAAGGAACACAAAATCCATTTTTATATACATAAAAACGAAACAAACACCAGCATAGACTTGACCCCCAAAGTATCTTGTTACGAAAGAACATGAATGACTGGCCAGCCAACAACAACAAAGAACAGGATGAGATGAAATATGAACCAGATTCCTAGGTGGCACATAGAAGGCAGAAAATGAGCTTGGGGAATCAAATCCTATTTCAAACTTGGCACATTAAGGAAAAGAAAGACAGTGACAGAAGGCTTTGGAATGCCAGCATAAGCCAAGCAGTCTCTGGATGAACAAGACAGATTGTTTAGAAGAAGTCAAGTTAGCAGTTAATGTGTGGCCACCTTATATTCAGACCTCTGACAGACTTGTAGGATTGTCACATATCTTCCCTCAGCTATCCCAAATGTTAATGAGCTTCAAGGGAGATGTGGATCCAGTATTATTTCCATAGCTATAAAACATTTGATAGTAAGTGAAAAATCCTAATCCCCCCTTTCCCTAAACAGAGAGAAGACAATGCCTTTTAAGGTCACTTTAACTTTTTTGTTTGAAAAGATACTCTGATTCTTAAGCTAAGCCTTACATCAATATGAAAGGAGAAAAATCTATTGAAAGATTACATTCAGAACAAATGACAGGGACTGCAGAATAAATCAGAAGAAATCTATGAAATAGCCCCATTTCCCAAACATTAAAGTGAAAGAAAAAAAGCCATATTCATCAGTTGAATAGAAACTCTTTTTTTCTACCACTTACAGTGTGGATAGAAATTAGAGGAAAATAGTTCGAATGTATGGTTTTTAATAAAAATTCAAAGAAAGCAACCAAATCTTCTGTTTTAGGAAATCATATTAATATATATTACAAACACAGGAAGAGGGTAGGGGCTGAGCCAGTGCCTAGGCACCAACCACACTGGGTACAGCCTGGAAGAGGAGGCGCGAGTGAGGTGTAAGCTGCCAGAGAGGGTCAGGAGGAGGATTGGTGTGGTAGTGAAGAGGAAGCACACAGCAGGAGAGGGCAAAGAGCACTGAGAACAGAGGAGCAGTGGGCCATGATCGTGCCCCTCCTTGCTTCGCCAAAGACCATTTCCTTTCCAGCACTCATATCCCTTAGGACCTTGCTGTTATTCAGCTGGAAGTGTGAGAGGTGGCAGCACTCAAGTGCTCCCACAGAGTTCCTACAACTCTGCTTTACGGAGAATACACTTATGGGTTGAAGTCATTTAGAATATCATTTGGTACAATAAAAGTATAACAGCCTATAAAATTTAAGCCACAAGTCAGATTATTTCCAAATTGGCATTAATATTAAGGCTTTACGGAGAATACACTTATGGGTTGAAGTCATTTAGAATATCATTTGGTACAATAAAAGTACAACAGCCTATAAAATTTAAGCCACAAGTCAGATTATTTCCAAATTGGCATTAATATTAAGGCTTTTTTTTTATATTTATATATACTTGTGCACTGCTTAACAATGGGGATATGTTCTGAGAAACATGTTACTAGGCAATTTCATCATTGTATAAGCATCATGGTGTGCACTTACACAAACCTAGATGGTATAGCCTACTTACTACACACCTAGGCTATATTGTATAGCCATTATAATCTTATGGAATAGCTGTTGTATATGTGGTATGTGGCGCACAAGCATTTAGAAAATATACATGCTTTCTCATTTAACCAACTTCGATTCTGGCTGCAGCTCAGATTGTTTAATAGACAGGAAAAAGATATGTTCCCATGACTTCTTCAGATCATTTTTTAATAAAAATCAGGAATGACTTGTGCCAAAAAAGAGGAACATGTCATATCCTGAGCTTCCTCTCAGGCTCAAGTGCCTGAAGACTATATTGCTGTGTTACAAGAGGTACAGTGCAATGCTTTCAATTGACATGCCAGTGTGGCATGAAGGCTTTCCCTGGAGGTGGGGACCACTTTGCCAGAAGGTTGGGGGTGTCCAGAAAATTTCCCCACCACCAACTGGATTTGATGGCTGGAATTTAGTGCCTACAGAAGTTCTCACAACAAGGGCAGGACAGATAAGGCTAATGGTGCTAATGTCCTTCAGCATAGGCAGTCATCTTGGGGTAAGGGTGTGGTGCAGCAAATAAAACCTGGAACCTGCAAGTGGCCCAGCCTTTGGTGGCTAGTGAGGGAAAACCCAAGTATGCTGCAATGTCAAAAGGTTCAAAAGCACTGATGAAGTGTTCGGTTTTGCCCCAGGGGCAGTGCATGAGAATCCGTTCCAGTGAAATGCTACATTCGTAGAAGTGCTGTTCATTCCAGAACTAGATCCTAGAGGACACAATTCTAGCTGTGCTAGGAAGTGCTAAGCTCCCTCCATGTGTCACTCTGGAGACTGAAGCAGCAAAGCAGCCCTGTTTTGGGGTTTAGTTTCTCTCTCCAACATCAGCATCATGGACGATGGTAGCTAAAACAGATGATCAAAAAGAGACAAGTTATTAGATAATGTAGACTGCTTTGCTATTACTATATCAGTAGTAATGAAATGTTATATCCTAATTATTTAAAAATTGCCTCTCCTCCATTCTAATTCTACCTGACCTTCTGTTGCATCTGAAACTCCTGACCCCCTCCTTCCTTAACTTTCTTCTCTTGGCTTCTGTAACACAATCTTTTCCCGAGTTTTCCTTTTCCTTCTTCAATTACTCTTCTTCAGTATGCTGTCCTTGCTCATTTTCCTCTCCACCCTTTGAATAAAAAATAATTTTCTCCCTAACGGTCCAATACTTTCTTTCATTTATATCTTTATATAATGCTAAAGATTATTGCTTCCTTTCTGGACTCTAGACTGAATATCGAACTATCTTCTAGGCATCTCCATCTCAATGTGTCACACGCTTGTCAAACTCAACATATATAATTTATTTTTCAGTTTGCTTATTGTCTTCCTTCCTCTTTTAGAATAAATCTCCTTAAGGACAGAGACTTTATCTTGTTCCCTGCTGTATCCCAAGGACCTGGCTGGCACTGTGTCTATCATGTAGTAGATGCTTAATAAATATTTATTGGATAAACTAAACTTCATATGAACTACTTATTGTCTTCATAGACCTCAAAAAATACAAGTTAGAAATATGGGAGTCATTTTGACTACTTCCTTTATTTCATCCCTAGAATCCAACAGATTGCTAAGTCTTGTTGATTCCATGCTTGAAATGTCTTTCAAATCTATTTCCTTTGCATTCTCACTATCACTTCCCTGGTTTGAGCTACCACTATGCACACTATGACTATTTCAGTCACTTCCTAACTGGTTTTCTTTCTACTAATCTCTTCATCATCCCATACCATCTTCCACAATTTCATCAGAGCTTGTTCTGAAACACACAGAATTCCCCACGTACAAACTTCTAGTGGTTCCAACATTCTGATGTCAAAGTTATGCTAGGATGTTACACCTCTTCAAGGTGGGACTGTAACTAACCCATCTTCCTGGCTTATCTTCACCACACTGCCCCACACATCCTCTTTGACAGGCACATTTTCTCTCACCCAGAAACACTATGCACTTTCCTACTCCCCATAGCCTTGCTTATGCCGGTCCTTCTGCTTGCAATGTTCTTTCCTTCCTTATTGTACAGATCAATTATTTCGCATACTTTTAAGATCCAGTCTAAATATCATGTTCTCTATGACCTTCCTTTAGCAAAAACTATTCCTTTACTTTGCTAACTGTAGCACTTTTCTTTCTTTCTTTCTTTTTTTTTTTTTAAGATGACCAGTAAGGTGATCTTAACCCTTGGCTTGGTGATGTCAGCACCATGCTCAGCCAGTGAGCGAACCAGCCATCTCTATATAGGATCCAGACCCATGGCCTTGGTGTTATCAGCACCGCACTTTCCCAAGTGAGCCATGGGCCAGCCCACTTTTTTTTTTTTAAAGATGACCAGTAAGGGGATCTTAACCCTTGACTTGGTGTTGTCAGCACCACGCTCAGCCAGTGAGCCAACCGGCCATCCCTATATGGGATCCGAACCCGGGGCCTTGGTGTTATCAGCACCATACTCTCCCAAGTGAGCCACAGGCCGGCCCCCACTCACTGTAGCACTTTATTACTACTAATAATAACAACAAAAATAGCTAACATTGACTTAACCAGGAAATGGTAGAGTTCAGATATGAATCCTTGCAAACTGAGGCATTTATCATATTGATTGTATTATATTTAGTAATACACAGGTCTTTTTCCAGATTAGACTAAGAAGTCCTTGTAGGCAAGTATGGTTTATCATTTGTGTTCATATTATAGTGCCTTGAATGGAATTATTGCTGTTTGAAGAATCTGCCTTCTCCGCTTCTGTCAGAGTTCAGTATAAAAAAATTCCGTAATCAGAATAACCGTGATGGAAAAACACTTAACATCTTATTTTCCATCTTTTGGGGGGTGGGGGAGGTGGGGCAGCTGGCTGGTATAGGGATCGAACCCTGGAACTAGGTATTATCAGCACCATACTCTCACCAGCTGAGCTAAATGGCCAGCCCTTACTTTCCATTTTCCTTATTTGCTTGTTTCTTCTTATTACATTGTCATTATATCTTCCTTCATTTGGCCTCTTTATAAGTGTTCTGAGAGTCACATATACATACTTCACTGATTCCACTTGTGGCTAGCTGATTCTTTAGATATTGGTGGGTCCTTAATCATTACAGTAATTCCAAATCAAAACACTACTTGTCTTGTTTCACGAAGACAGCTAATTAAAATGAAGTTTATAATCTAAGTTGGTAAGACCAACTGCACTAGACAGAAGTGAAACCAGAAAGGGCAAAGTCTTGTCGAACTCAGCATAATCTCTTCATTCATAACCTGTGAGAACAAGGTGATGGGAAGATAGCACCCGATGGCTTTGAAGTCATTCATTATTTTCTCCAAATCCTGGATCTACAACTTACTAGCAAGTCAAAAAAGTTACTTAACCCTTCTGAGCCTCTACTTCCTCATTGACAAAATGGGGATATTAACACAACTTGTAGGTTCATTGCAAGGATTAAATAACATAATGTACATAAAATGCCACACTCAGAATAGGCATTTACTATTGCCTCTTAGATCTCATCCTGTTCTCTGAATGTAGTCTTCTTGCAATGAGCACTGAGTATCCTCCTTTTTAACAATGTCATTAGAGTTCTTCATATCTGAACAAGTCAGGTATGTTTGGTTTTTTTGGATGATCTACTTAGCTCATAGTATTTGGGTGTTTTGGGTCTTACCGGGTAAAATGTTTGCTCTCTTCATGAACCTCCATCTCTGAGCTTTTAAATTCATTTAATTCTTTTCTTATGGCAGCCTGTGGATTAAAAAACGAAAATGTTTCAGCATCTTCTGTCTGCTGTAGTGTAGCACTGTGACTTGCCATCTATTCTCTATTGTGCTTAACTCCATGAATTAGTGCAATAATGCCTTGCAAGCAACCCAAAGAGAGGAAAGAAGCCAGGTCAACACATTGAGCCAGCTCTGAGCCCAATACACATTGCTTTCCCTGACTCCATTTATCTCATAATAAACCTAAAATCTCGAGTTAAATCAAAATATTTGAAAAATTTAAGAGATATTGTAGATTTTATAGTTTTCACAGCATGTAAAAATACTTTTCCCATTATAATAGCAAAATATAAGTCATTACTAAAATATACCACCTAAACTCCCTCTAACCAAACATAATATCACTGTTAAAAACGTGTTTTACTTCCTTTGAATTTTTTTACTCTGTGATATAGCAGGGATTTTCATTTCTTTAAGTATTGGTGATGGAGTCGTCAGTATAAAGTTTTGGTAAATACATCTTGGCATTTTGTATCTTGATTTGAAATGTAACATTGTATCAAAACTAGAAGCTTTGTTATGGCTCCCCCTTCTAGTTAGTATCTTGAATCCTTCAAATAAAGAAAAGAGAAAAAGAGCGCGCGCACAAGTGAGAGAGGAGAGAGCTTGTGAGTGCTTTCCAGTTACCTTGTCAGCAGGGGTCAGTTTGGTCCAAGGCTTGTCAGCTCGCCGGTCATAATCTTGAGCATCTGTTACCTCGACATATTCATTAAACCTCAGAATCTTCCTGGCAAGTAGCTCAGCCACAGTTGGCCTTTGACTGAGCTGAAAGAAATGGAGCCTCTTAGTTCACTATGCCAGGAAACAGACATCAAGTTCTCCCCCCTTCACTGCACATTGGAATCACCAGCGGAGCTTTAAACACTACTGATTCCTGGGTCCCTATTCCTAGAGGTTCTGGGTATCAGGAGTTTTTGTTTTTTGTTTGTTTGTTTTAGAGCACTTCAATGTACAGCTAAAACTGAGAGCAACTGCTACAATCCAGTGATTCCCAAACTAAAATATACATACAAATCATCTGGGGATCTGGTTTAAAATGTAGATTCTGATTTAGTGGGTGTGGAGTGGAGCCTGAGATTAAACATCTCTTACAAACTCCCAGGTGATGCCAATGCTGCTCGTCCATTGACCACATTTTGGGTAGCAAGGCACTTGTGAATTTTATTTCAACATGAATAATGCCCAAGATAGTGGAATATGTAACAAACTATGATTTGAGGTTGCACAATCAGGTAACCTGTTCAATCTGAAGGCATTAAATCCAGCCATGGCCTCTGATTATCAAGGATAATTCCTCTGTTCCTAGGGAAGGGAAGAAGTGGTATAAATCAGGAAAAGAGGATCTAGATCCCTGGTTCTCCTGGAGATTCTTTCAAGCTTTAAGAAATATTTAGAGAACTCAGACCAAATCAGAATCTACAGAAGGCAATTACAAATTTATGGAAGTAAAGGAGAAAGGAATTAATCCCGGGGCTTAAAAGCTAACACAGGTCTGTACAAAAAGATTCCTTCCTAATTGATATAGGATGAAGGAGAAAATCATTGTTCTTCATATTTTTCTGGTATTACTCAGAGTTATTTCCCTGATTACAAAACAATCAGTTTTCTTCTTTGCAAAACTGAATGCTACACACTTTTCCTGTTACTGTCTCTATACATCAAGTTTTAAAGTCTACATCAAAATCCCAGGTCTATCAAATAAAAGGTCAAAATTTATCCAGTCAAAATTTATTGAACACCTTCTTGTGCCAGGCCTTTTTAAAATATAGTATAAAAATGAAAGAAAAAAAAGCTCTTGATAATGTTATTTTCTATATTTGCATCATGTATTATATTTTCATAGCAATCTGTGGCAAAGTCAAATTTATTTCTTTCCAGTGAAACACGTCATCCAAATACAAGATATAGTCAGTAGACAGACTGAAACCGAACACACAGGCAGCAGTACCTTTCTAGTCAGCCGACGTTTAATCTCTCGTTTTTCTGCCTGACGATCAGCTTCATTTTTAGCTACAGATGACAGTCAGAAACAAAGAATATTACTTTAAATTGCCAATTTGCATATCAAACTTTTTAGTAATTATGCCACATATATTTCTTATAGGTCCAAATAAAAGTAAAATACTAATTTGGGGAATGGCTAATCAAGACAATTTTCTCATCAACTGGTATAGTCAAATACTTAACAGCAAGCTTGGATCAGCAAACTATCTGGCCTGTTGCCTTTATTTTTACTGCACATGAGCTAAGAATGGACTTTACAATTAAAAAAAATTTTTTGGTGGCTGGCCAGTACAGAGATCTGAATCCCTGACCTTGGTGTCATAACATCACGCTCTAATCAGCCAGCCCAGTCTTCATGTTTTTAAATGGTTTTATAAGTACCCACATGACAGTTTCTGTTTGCTTTTTGGCCTACAAAGCTGTAAATATTTACTATTTGCCCTTTAAGAAAAAGTTTGGGGCCGAGCCCGTGGCGCACTCGGGAGAGTGCGGCTCTGGGAGCGCTCCCGCCGTGGGTTCGGATCCTATATAGGGATGACCGGTGTGCTCACTGGCTGAGCGTGGGGCAGCCGGTCTCAAAAAGGACAAAAAAAAAAAAAGTTTGCATTTAGGGTTTTAATTTGCTTTTAAAAAAAAAAAAAAAGTTTGCATTTAGGGTTTTAATTTGCTTTTAAAAAAAAAAAAAAAGTTTGCATTTAGGGTTTTAATTTGCTTTTAAAAAAAAAAAAAAAGTTTGCATCTAGTGCTTTAATTTGCTATTAAAAAAGAAAATAAAAAGTTTGCAGATTCTTGCTAAAGAATAATTGATAAGAATGGAAAATGAATATAACCAAATTTCATGTTATATGTCTATAAAGGCTCCCACATTTTAAAATTTACTAAGCGACTATGCTGTGTACACCCAAATAGTGCTGGGAGAACAGGGGATAGATTGATCAGACTGAGTATGCCCACAAGTAACCCTAGAGAAACCTAAACCTCTTCAGTGAGGAGGTTTTCTATGCCAAATTTTACTCTATACTCTGGAGAAAGAAGTCAAATCCATACTATATTAGAATGTTATTTCAGGAAGTTAATCATGTACACAGACAGCAAATTAAATACATGGTCCTACTTGGTGACTATAGAGCCACATGCATAGCTACTATCTTAGTTCCCTAAAGACAGGGAAAAGTTGGGCTGTGTCTCTCACGCACTGTCAAGCCCTCCCAAATGCCCAAGACAGTCACAGGATACTGTGAGAACATTTCTAGGGTATTATGGTACATTAACAATATCATAATGGCATCTTCCAAAGGAAGCTTGGGGGAACTCTGATCTTTCAGGGGAAAAAATAGTTTTTTCCTGACCGGAACACTCCTTAGTCCTTGTACCAAATCCTTTTTTTCTCTTTTATGTATATTAAAGTCAGAAACACATAAAGAAAGTGTATACAACTTTATTTCCACAGCTGGACTCACGTTGCAGTATATTTCGTTGTTCTAGTTCTTCTGGTGTTGGTCTTTGACTCAGTCTCCTAAAAAATGAAAGAAAATAAGGGTATTATCCATGTTAAACCTCCTAATCTTGTTTATAAAGGTTTTTTTTGCCGTAGTTTATATTAGCCCCTACACAAGTAAGAAAGTGGGTTGGCTGGTTGCTCAGCTGGTTATAGTGTGGTGCTGATAATACCAAGGTCCAGAGTTCAATACCTGTACCAGCCAGCCGTTAAAAAAAAAAAAAAAGAAAGAAATTAATAAATTTTCGTTTTTTTTTTTTTCTGACTGGTAAGGGGATCGCAAGCCTGGGCATGGTGTTGTTTGCACCATACTCAACCAGTGAGCACCCCAGCCACCCCTATATAGGATCCGAACCTACAGCCTCAGCGCTACTAGCGCAGCACTCGCCCGAGTGAGCCACGGGGCCGGCCCGAGAAATCAATAAATTTTCAAACTGATGTATTTCATTTATTATTTATCTGATTGTTTATGAAACAATTTTAACATTGAAAGTGCTAACACAGATGCTACATTATAAAAAGGAAATGTACATGCAAACAGGAGGCCA